TCAATTAAACAGCTGACATGTGAAGTGTGGTGACATCAATTAAACAGTTGACATGTGAAGTGTGGTGGATATGTTCTGGGGTAATGTTAACAATTAATTTTTCTATTATAACTATTGTAAGGTTTTGAAATAGGGTCTAAAATCTAAACGTATAATATAAGTTAGAATCGTTGTGACATGAATCTACTTTATTTAAGTAAACACAGTTATGAAATAACTATATTCTAATGTTATTTACCAATTCGATCGTCAGTCAAAAGTTTCCACGTTTTCAAGGTTGCGGAAGAACAACGTCTGAAGACCAAAGAACAGAACACCGTTTCGTTTCTGAGAGCGAAACTGAAAGAGACAAAGCAGTGGTGGACCATAACCCAGGAAGAAAACTGTCGACTTAAGAAGGAGAAGTCTTTACTGAGCGCTGAAGTTTCATCTTTAAAAACAAAGGTGAGTTTTGGGGTGAAGGGCTATTTGTGCTCTGCCCACCACGGGTATCGAAACCCGGTTTCTAGCAGACATACCTCTGTACTACTGGAGGCTAAACTGTTGTTTCTATCAAGTTCAATCAAAGAGAAAGTCATAGTAGTGTCTAGGAATGGACGAAACACTCACAGTATGCACGTGGTTTACCACTGGAAATGGAACCCCGGATCTGAGCTTCGTAAGTAGGCACACTTATCTACCAGAGGACGCAGATTTTACAGCTAATATCATTATGAATTAGTCTTAGTGACTGCCATCCCAGTGGCTCAACGGTCAATTTGAGGACTTGTAATTCAAAAAATCAAGTTTGGATACCAGCAATGACCAGAACTTTGCTCTTAAGAACAAACATATTTATTGACTAATCTATAATTTAAAAAAAAAAAATGGGGGGGGGGCACATGTGTAATGTTCAATCTTAAAAACCTAAAAATGTTTAAAAACAATGACTATTTTATAGACAATTCTATAAGAATTGAGATTAACTTGAAAAAATTGGAAATGATGAAAAATTGGATATTATTAGAAGTGAGTGTTGTACTTTATTAAAAATATTAAGTTGAAAAATAATAATAAAAAGGCTGATAAAGGGGGACAAACTGTTATTGTTAATAAATTAATAGTTATTTCAAGGATTGGTTTAGCTGTAGCCTCATATTGAAAACATATCTATTCATAAGTGGACCACGTGTTAAATAACCACGTCAATCAGTGAAAACTTTGGGTATTTGTAGATTTCCAAAATGGAGCTAGAAACCTCAGAACTTCGTCAAAAGGTTCAAGAAATGCGATTGGCAGTTGAGGAATACCAGAGTAACTGTCAGACAGTCAACCAAGTTCACGGGCAACGATGGAGACACCTGTTACAACTGGCTGACAATATTCAACTGCTCGGCCATTCCGCTGTTAGAGATTACCATGATTAAAACCAGTACTTAAATATGATGAATAAAACCAGATATTA